TTTCCGTTTAAAAAAATATCAGACATGGTCACACAAGACAAAAATGGTGTCTCAAAAGACAAAAAAGACAAAATATGTGAGTACCACAGAACTAGCTACAGCTTGCTAGCCGTGTCTAAATGTGACTGGTGCTTGAGATGGCATAATGCTGTGGTTTGCTTCTTGGCACCCAATGTAAGCTTATGTGGAAGAATTATTTGTTTTCAGATGCAACTTCTGTCTCTGAGCCGAACATAGGTAAGAGGAAAGGAAAACAGAGAACATGGGTAGGAAACCCTTTACTGGTTACAGACCTTTCAGGGTGGTTCTATGCCCACCTGGCTTTCACTGAGACGATGCGCTTTGATGTTTGCGCCCTCTCAGTGCTGGTTGATGCTTGTCAACAAAGCTCTTCCTCCGTCCACAGGGAAGCAGTGCTCGTATCCTCCAGCCATCGCCAATGGGAAGCACAGTGGCCAGGGCCGCGTTTTCACGATTGGAACATCTGTCACTTACTCCTGCGACCCTGGCTACACTCTGATGGGAAGGGCACAGATTAATTGTACAGCATCCAAATTTTGGACCGACCCCATCCCCCACTGTAAAGGTATGTTCGCTCTATTCATTATTGCTTTTTGACTCTTTCATTGTGGCAGACGCACCGTAGGATTTTCCCCAGAGAACTTTGGGACTAGCCACTGATTCAGCAGCTTTCCCAGCTGAAGACAAAACAGCCACGATACGCTGGCCAGATTCCTGGTGGGTAGAGGACCTCTACCACCTTCATTGGAATTACAGTTGTATCCCCCAATCTCAATGCTGAATGGCTTCCAGAATGTACCTGGATGTTTTTAACCCTGTTGCATGATAATTAATCATAGCGCTAGTTTATATTAATAGTTTAATGGAATCAGTAAAATAAAGTACTTGATAGAGGAACAAATTCCTGAGACAGTGCCCCAGAACTTAACCTGCCCTGCTGCCCCATCTGCATGCCCCAATAAAAAGGTTTCACAGCACTTTCAGCAGATATCCAGGCTCAGGCTCTGATGGACTGAGTACAACCTCAACCTCTCATGTGTGTTTTTTACCACACAAAGTTGGTGCCCTGATGGTATTTGCAGGAGGCTGCTCTTGGCTGACCTGAGAGATAGGAATGGACCATGAAGGAGGCAGCATTCCCTTAGATGTGGCTATGCCCACCTGTGACGCATCTTTTGACTAAAAGACTACATAAATTTAACTAAAAGGATCAGGTTAAATGGGTGCAGCTGTATATGTAAGAGGGGTCTGGAAGTGAAAACGGTTGTGCTTATCTTGTAGCAGCAGCTTGAAGTTCCAGTAGTTTGCCCTCTGACCTAGGTACTACAGTCTCATGAGAAATAGGTGCAAGGGGAAGACAAGAGATAGAAAAATCTTAATTGTACTTTCAGTTTCATCAGCTGGTTGTAGAGTCCCAGAAGTTTGGCATGGAAAAATAAGTGACTTGAAACCTGCCTACAGCCCCGGAGAGACTCTTCTGGTTGAGTGTGATCCTGGATACACCCTGAAGAGCACGCAGGAGGCTCAGTGCCAAGATGATGGCACGTGGGCTCCTGCAGTCCCCATCTGTGAACCAGGTAGGTGTGACTAAGGCTGCGTTGGCCAGCTGCCTTGGATCCAGCTCTGAACACAGTGTGGCAGGGCTGTGCTGGGAGGCAAAAATAAAACCCTGGCCTGGGAATCCAGTGTGTTGGGGCCCTCCCCCACTCGGAAACAGAACCAAAGGATTATTCATTAAGGAAGGAATCCTGACCAGCCTTGCCCACATAATTGCACCTGCTCCCAAGGTAGGAGAACTCAAGGAGACCACAGCTGAGACATTAAATCATCCAAGATGCCTGGAATTCCTTTTGACAGCTATGGTAGAAATTGTTCACTCGGATTGGTGGCAGCAAGGGACGTGTCTACATGTGATGTAATCCTCACACAAGTAATATTTGGAGAAGGTGCGTGGGGCGGAAGATGGAATAGGTGAAAGGCAGGGCTGGTTGGCACCTTGTAGACCAACTGGTTCACAACTGTGTAAGCTTCCATAGGCAACCGCCTACTTTGCCACACTTCACAGTAGGTGGATGACTATATCCCTTGTGTGTGTGTGCACCTCTGCCTTTTTTTTGGCCATGACTTAATTATAATTATGCTAGCTCCTTTTCCTCTTGGAGGTCAGCCTGTAACAACTTGTTTTTTCATTTGACATGCATTCGTCCCTCCCTCTAGCACTCCAGTGTCACCCTCCTTCACACATCACCAAGGGGAAACAGAGTGGCCAGTCCTTGAGAGTTTTCACCCCAGGAATGTCTGTAAATTATAGCTGTGAGCCTGGCTTTGACCATGTTGGAGAGGCAGCTATTAATTTTACAGCATCTGGAACTTGGAGTCGACCTCTCCCTCATTGTACAGACGCATTCATGTTCTGCTTGCTTCTTTTTTCATTCCAAAGATATCAGTGATTGACACCACTTAGGTGTCTTAGGAGGCATCCTGCATACAGCAACATGGTGCATGAGGGTAGTACTGCCAGGTGGGGCAACCTTCTCACCCAGACATGGCCAAATAAACGGAAGAGCAGCAGGTTGGGATTTGTACCTCAATTGCTTGTGTTATTCTTCCACCTAATGGTAAAGCAGAAGTGCAGGGAGTTTGAAATGAATTTTGCCTCTTGAGAATATGCAACTGCATCCCTGTCTATCTGGAGCCTGGTGAAAACAGAGCTCACAAAACAGGCTATTGAGTTTCCCTTATTGCAGCTGGTTGAGGACACTGGCACTGAGAAGGCTTATGTGTTGTTCACGTGCAAAGAGGCACTGGATTAATTAGAGGAGTGTTTTATAGGAATTTAGTTATGTTGGTGCCCAGGGTGGGCCCGCCTTACCTGATGCTATTCTGACTCCCAGCCTCTCAGGTTGCACTTGTACTGCAAGAATCATTTCTGAACTTCACCAAGTTCTGCACCCAGGTGACTAGCTCTGTTTAAATTCTGATGCAAGATAAACCAGTGCAGTTTCCATGTGTTGACAAACCTCAGGTCTGGGAGCACAGGAAGTGAGCTACAATGTAATGTGTGGTCTTCATACAGCTTGCTTTGGACTGTGTGAATGGGGCCACCAACCATTGTCGTGTTGTAGCTTCAGGTTTCCTGTGTGGAGAGCTTCATACCAGAAACTCTTCATGACACCCAAGTCACTTTGTGAGGCTCACTGCAGTTAGAGTGGACAGTTCAAAACTACCTGAGGGAGCTAGATGCCTGAATGTACCCCACCAGGCAGTCTCCCAAGCTATAGGATAGACTTGTACCTCAGTTGTGTGCATGAGACCTGCTCCCAAGCCCTTGCCACCGTCTGAGCAGCTGTTGTAGCAGGTGTGCGGCACAAGCTGCTTCCTGGCCCAGCCACGCAGAACAGCGCTGCACTTTCTCCTTTGCATGTCAGTGGTTGTTTTCCCTTTCAAAGTTGCAAGGGCCTTTCTGTGCATTGGGAGAATATGGGGTGAATTTCTGCAAAGCCCATGTTCTAGACCTCTCCTATTAAAGACCCCATGTGACCAAGATACAGACGCTGTTTAAATGCTGGTGAGGGGAGCGGCAGGGCTGGGATTCCTGTTGTATGGCAAAGCAGCTCAGTTGTTCTCTTTATATCTGTGTGTTTGTTTTTTCCTCTCCAGGTTCCCATACCATTGTCCCACAAGTCTTGGGTGAGTAGCTTGTCAAAAACATCTGAGGCTGTACCCACAGCTGGTGTGAAGTGATGTTGCTCTATCACTTTGGTGGAGCTAATCCATGTTAGTGTAGTTGAGGATCTGGTCCACTGTTCCTGCACATTCAGGGTCTCTGCTCTCAAACCCTTGCTTATCTGTACCAAGAGGATATTACTTCTGTAATCAGCTGGCCTTAGTTCAAAGGTTCCCTCCCTCCCAGGTGAAGTCCACTGGGACCACACTTCCATTGCCTAGTTCACAAAAACAGCCAAACACATGGCAAAGTCATTTTGGCCCTGATGTTGGTCACCGCTGCATTCTGCAGCTTTGCTGTGTGGTATTCTCTCAAGCAGCTGGCTTATCAGCTCAGGTCTTCTAGTTTTGATATGTCACAACACAGTTGCTCCCCTCAGTTTCTATGGCTTGAAATGCCCTGGTCTCTGAATGGTGGGTTGTGCTTGCTGATCCCTTTGGGAAGAATGGAAAACTCCAGTTCTTTGTGCCAGTATGAGCACAGGTTCCATGAAGTATCATCAGAAAATTACTTCACTATTAATGAAGCCTTTTGGATTCAGGAACCAGGAGGTTGGCTTTTGGCTAAAGATCCAAGCCTGGTAGGGGAACACCCTGGAACGTTAACAACATAACTGTATGCAACAGCCCAGCACGCTGTTCTGCCGGTGTTCGCTTTCATACTTCGCTTAGGGATATCATGGCAGTTCACACACTGCAGGGCCAATACCCACATTTCCATGCGTCTTCAACCCATTTGGCTGACTAATACTGTGTACTTCTGTTTGTTCAGGAACCTTAGGGGCAGCGTTGCTGTTTGTCCTTCTGGCCGTGATCGGGAGAATTATTTGCTGGAAGAAAGATGGGTGAGGCACTCTGTAAATTGCCATTTGTTTCCTTGTGTGCATACACTATGGCCTAGCTGCATAGATGTCATTCTGGTAAATTGTTTCAATAAATCATAATCTAAAAATGCAAGAAGCCCTGGCAGAAAATAGAAGAGGTCATCAGTAGTGTAATCTTGTGACTCACTGGCTGCTGAGAGTTCACTGCCATACTCATTTCATGCTGTATTCAAAAGAAAAAGCCTCCCACCACTGGACTCCTTACATTCAATTTAAGGGCCAGATTTTGGTGGTGTTTCCCCTTGGTTTGAGAGAAGGCCTTTAGGGAAGGAGCCTGTTTATCTTTTCTGTCGTATGCTATTTAAAAATACTGGAGAAATGTGTGTTTCTGGGGTTTTTTTATTTTTATTTTTTCGTTTCAACTATCTGAAATATTAATGATATGGCCTCCCCAAGATTTGCTCTGTGGCATTTATGGGACTGTAAGAGAGGTCGTTTACATTACATGAATGCATTTTTTGTCTCCAAAATGAATAAATAAGTAAATAAGTAAATATGATCATTTTCTGGTTGCTTGACCCCAAGATAATCTGGTCTACCTGTGTGTGAGTGTTGTCACTTTTTATGAAGCCAAATATCACTATATTTTAAAACCAACTGACAGTAGAAGCTGAAAAGTCAAAATATTTAGACTTTGAAAAGTCTAAAAGTCAGAACTGAATTTCAGTTAAAACAATTGAATATGAATTCTTGAATAGTTTTTGTTAAGAGAAATATTCATGTTGGGTATGTACTTTTTGCCTGGAAAGTTTTGCTTAGCTTTAAAAAGAGAGAAAATGGAATAATCAAGAACAGAAAGCTTTCTTCCTCCTTCCATGCGATCCTGAAAAAATTAACTAACTCATCTCTATGTGTGCTGATGTTGTTCCTGAGACCACTGATGTCTTCATGTAGGCTTCCCAACTTGTAACAGGCACAAAAATTCTAGTTGTGAGGTGATATAATTTTATTTCCAGTCATTCTTTTAAATCTGTCATTTCTTTGAAAACTAAATTGATTTATGTTTCAGCAAATGCCATGCAAATGCAAATACACCACCCAATGCTGCTGACACAACCAAACAGGAATTTTCATCTGTTCTGTAGGAGGTATGGAGTTATTTCCAGATCACTTGCTGTAGCATAATTATATCAAAATTGTGGTGAAAGGTGCCAAGTTTGACTTGTTCTAATGTAAGCTCAGTTAGGTGAGGGGAATATGCCTGCTTTCCCTTGAATCCTCTGGGAAAAACTTTCTTTCCCCTCTGGCTGTTTAAACTGAAGTATCATGTTTTCACTCTGAATACTATAAGGCTTTTCCATTTCTTGCCTGGCTGTGATCCTATCCTACGCTGCCTGAGTCCTTGAAGAAGAGCTACTGTCAAGGGGTACGGGTCCCTGGCTCTCTGCTATCTGGGCTCTAGCATTAAGACCGAGATGAGAGCATGTTGCGGAAGTAGCTGAGGGACTCGGGCAGGGCAGAATCAAATCTCTCTTGGGAATTTAATTGCACTTAGCCACTTAAGAGGTGGAGGACTGCCCCTTTCTGTTGCTCTTGGCTTGGTTTGAGCCGCAAGCAGGGCACGTGTTGAGTTCCACAAGCTTTCTGTGAATGCTGGATGATGGAGCAGGCTCTGAAGGCTGACATGCACATAAGCATATTTCCAGAATGGTGATCATGGGTTGTGTACTATCTTCCCTCAACTGCTGGCTTGTTTGTTTGCATGATGACTTTGGTTGTAAAGCTGTGGGAAAGCCTGTGGCTGTTGTGGTCCATAATGTAAACCAGCCTTCGCTGTCGCTTGTTCTGCTCAGGATACCGATACAGAAAAGAAATGGCATTGAACCCTATCGGCCTTTATACGCTGCCTTTTTTGTGTTGTGTCCCCCATTGAAAATGATCCCTGACCCACCGCAGACACATTCATTGAGAATTTTGCTTTCTTTTTTTGCCAATAGTTGCTGGGAATTGCATGGAAGCATTTCTGTCCTATTCTCTGAGGAATTTATGCACTTATCCTGACCTGCTACAAGAGAAGGTGGAAAGCTTTGCAGTTCTACTATGGAATGGGACTTCTGCTGTTTCCTTGGATAAACTGCTGCAGGAGTGTTGCCAAGTTCAGCCGTTGCACAGCACCAGTGTAGCTCTTCAACTGAACTCCCTTGTGCGTGCCTGCTGCTTGTCCACAAACACTTGTTGCCTGCAGATTTCTGAGACTGGTGAGGCACACTGGGGCATCAAGGAGTTACCAGATTTCTCCAAACTGTTGCTGATCTAAAATGCTTTGAAATCTGCTGATGATAGTGCTCTTCCAGACAAAAATGTATTCAGAATAATTATTCTCAAAGCAGTGTAATTTAAGGGACACTGTTCTGGAATAATGAATATCTCTGTGTGTATAGTAATTAGTCAAAAGACTTCTGTTGGAAAATGGGGGGTGTCAACTGGGGATACACGTACCCCTGGGGGTACTTGGCAAGGCCCCAGAGCGTACATGGCGATGGCGCGGAGAAGTGGGGGTACTTGGGAAGTGCTGAGGCTTCCTCGCGCCCAAGTACGCACCGCCAGGGGGGCCCCCTCACTGCCTGCTTGTTGACTGGCTGTGGAGGGACCCCCTGCTCACTGCCTGACCCCAGAAGGGGATACAGGTGGGGGGGGGGGGGGAGGAGGGGGGAACCAACCAATCCTTAAAAAAGGTTGAAAACCCCTGTTACAAGTTCTTGTTGTAAAATGTATGTGTGTGATATGTAGTTGTGTGTGTCCACTTCCGGGTCTGCTGCTGAGTGTGCTGGGGAGCCCCCAGTGCTTCTGTGGGACACTCCATCCTCCCCAGCACTGCAGCAATCATGAGCCCCTGCTATCTCGAGATATGTAGAGAAAACATTTAAAGCTGTGTCTATGTCCAGATCTTTCCGAGGGTTCTGATTTAATTTGGAGAGCCCTCTGAGTTGAATCGAACCGGATCTCCGCCGAATCGAATCAAGAACTAAAGGTTCGCACAGCCCTACTGGCAGTCCTATAGTTGACAGGATTTGAACCTGTGCAGGGAAACCCCAGTAGATTTCAAGTCTACCGTCTTTACCACTCGGCCACAATTACTTTTGTTCGTAGGGAATCTATCTGCGCTCCATGCACTGCTGAATACAGAGCTAATAAAGCATGATTGATCATTTTGGTCGGGGGGGGGTGAAGTTGAATGAGCCTTTCAGAGATGGAAAAAGGACTGCACTTGCTCTGAATTTGTCTGAGAATGGTTAGTCCCTGCTTTCACCAAAGAGAGATCAC